AAAAAATATAATAGAAATTATATATTCTTATATAATAGAGATTATTTCAATAATCAAAAAGGCATTGGTTTCGATATAAGTTTACACTCTGACGAATCCACAAACGATTCAGACTCTGAATATGAATTGATTTAATAATTTAATAGATAATGATAAAATATTATTATTCTATGACAATATTACTATAATTATAATTTACTAGTTTACTATTACTACATTATATGTTACAGTTATAGTACATTTATATTATATTTTATAATATTGTTATTCCAGATATTATTACATCCTATATTATTTCATTAATATTACAATTAATATTATTATAGTTGTATAGTATACATTATTATACTATTGCTACCTTGTTTTGAGTTGAAATCAATTAATAAAAATGTTTATTTGAAAATTCAAATGGAGTTTCTAAAATACATCGGTTGGTTAAAAAGATCTGGGTGAACGAGAAATTACCTGAAGAATGGAAAGAATCTATTCTTATTCCGATTCACAAATTGGGTCCGAGGACGGATTGTAATAACTATCGAGGAATTTCACTCCTTCCGGTATGTTATAAAATATTCACTTTAATCTTAACCAGTCGAGTCACTGAATACGCCGAGGAAATTATCGGAGACTACCAATGCGGATTTAGACGGAATCGTTCGACTATTGATCAAATATTTTCTTTACGGCAAATATTAGAGAAAAAATTGGAGTATAACGATATTGTTCACCAGCTGTATATAGATTTTAAAAAGGCTTACGATTCTATTGACCGCCAGAAACTGTATAATATTCTAATCGAGCAGGGGATTCCAAAAAAACTAGTAAATCGACGGAGTAAAAAATAGTGCTTGACGGAGACACTCAATAAAGTTAGAATCGGTAATAATTTGTCCGAAAAATTTGAGGTTCGTTCGGGCTTAAAACAGGGGGATTCTCTTTCGCCTGTCCTGTTTAATTTGGCATTAGAACATGCCGTTAGGGAGGTAATGCGAACCGAGAAAGGGTTGGATCTGGGCGGGACAACATCCGTGCTGGGCTATGCTGATGATCTGGTACTGTTAAGCGAAGACTTTGAAACTATAAAACTAAATACGACAACGTTAATGAAAGCCGGTAAAGAACTAGGACTCGAAATAAACGTCGATAAAACAAAATATATGGTTAGCTGCAAAAATGGCGATACTACTGGAGATATCGATATAGATGGTAATATGTTTGAACAGGTAGATAAATTTAGGTATCTAGGTTCTACGATAACTAGAAAAAACGAAATTGAAGAAGAGATTAAGGTTAGACTGAAGGCGGGGAATGCTTGTTATTTTTCTGTGACAAAACTACTTAGTTCGCGCCTCTTGTCCCGAAACTTAAAAATTAGAATCTATAAAACAATTATCTTGCCTACAGTTCTTTATGGATGCGAAACTTGGCCGCTTACATTAAGGGATGAGCAGCGTCTTAAGGTTTTTGAAAATAAAGTATTGCGTAGAATATTCGGACCGAAGAAGGATGAGTTAACCGGAGAGTTCAGACGGTTACACAACGCCGAATTGCGTGAGCTGTATCCGGGTAATATAATTGAGATTATTTCATCGCGGCGAATCAAATGGGCTTGTAAAGTTGTTGGGCTTAGTAACGAGAGAATTCCTAAAAGGTTAATATGTGCTGTGCCGAATGGTAAGCGTCCGAGGGGTAGACCGAAGCGAAGGTGGGAAGATTGCATTAAAGCCGATCTGAAGGGACTGGGTTTGGATGGCGAACGGTGGAGGGAGGTGTGTAACAAGCGATTGGTGGTGTCGGCATCGAACCTTCGGGTTCGCTAAGCCTTCTTATTATTATTATTTGAAAATAACTAGTGGTTAATGATTTTTGTCCGTTATCACCACTACTTGGTTACACTGTAAGGCGATAGCGCTTACCATCACTCCTTAGAAAATTGTTTTTCTCACAAACGGTTTGAATAAAAGTAAGATTATAGGAATTGTAGTATATTTTTTTTCATTTTTTTATTCAGCTTGAATGTTCTACTCAATTGAAATACTACAAATATTAGTTCCTTCCAAAAATCCATTTCCCTGTAAAATGTACCTACTCTCAAAAATGTTGATATTGTCAGGTAACACCCTCCCTCTCTTCTGCATGCCTCCATGCATATATATATAGCATTTCAAAGTCAATTTCAACCTTTTCCAAATCAAATTCAACCTTTTCCAAGTCAAATTAAACCTTTTCTATTTCAAATTCAACCTTTTCCAAGTCAAATTCAACCTTTTCGATTTCAAATTCAACTTTCGAATTTTTGTCTATTATCGATTTTTTTCGAAATGAAGGCCACTTACTATACTATCGAATGCATAGCTTTTGAAAAGTACAAAAAAAAAATTGATAACGCTGTTGCATATCCATTTATTTTAACATTTTAGATTTTTTCAGTGTAATATTTCTATGTCATATTCAATTATTTCCAAGTCAAATTCAACTTTTTCCAAGTCAAATTCAACCTTTTCCAGATAAAATTAAACTTTCTCCAAGTCAAATTCAACCATTTCCATTTCAAATTAAACCTTTTCCAATTCAAATTCAACAGTTTTCATTTCAAATTAATGTTTTAATTTTTTGTAAATTTTATATTTTTTTTTAAATAATGGCCATCCCCTCCCCCCCCCTCCAATATGACGGTCTATTATTATGCTCTCCTAAGTAGAATTTTCACTTACGGATATCGATTTATTGTACCTATTCGGATTTATTAGGGACTAGTATTATACTGTCATGTACCTAGTTTTTAAAATAACCTCCATTTTAAGATTACGCCACTGCGTTTCGACTTATTTAAGTTTTTTGATTTATTCGATACAAGGGTGTATTCTTATGTTTTCCGAGCCATAAATTTTGAAAATAAGCTCCATTTTATGATCAGGCCTCAGCGTTTTGACTTATTTAAGTTTTTTGAATTTATCCAATATAAAGGTCTACTTTTATGTTTTCCGGAGCCGTAGATTTTGAAAACGCCCTCCATTTTAAGATTAGGCCACCGCGTTTCGACTTATTTGAGTTTTTCGGATTTTTTTCATATGAGGGTGTATTATTATGTTTCCGGAGCCGTATATTTTGAAAATGGCCTCCATTTTAAGATTAGGCCACCGCGTTTCGACTTATTTAAGTTTTTTTGATTTATTCGATGTAAGGGTGTATTCTTATGCTTCCGGAGCAGTAGATTTTGAAAATGACCTCCATTTTTAAGATGAAGCCACCGCGTTTCTATTTGTTTAAGTGTTTCGAATTTGTATCATAAAAGAGTGTATTCTTATGTTTCCGGAGTCATATATTTTGAAAATGACCTCCATTTTGAGATTACGCCAATGCGTTTCGGCTTCTTCAAGTTTTTCGAATTTATCCAATTTAAAGGTATACTTTTATTATGCCGGAGCCTTAGTTTTTAAAACGACGTACATTTTAAGATTAGGCCACTGTGTTTCGGTTTTTTTAAGGGTTTTTGATTTTTCCTTCGAATAAAAAACAAAATACGAAAAATTAATTTATTTTTCATTAAATAAATAAAAATATCTAATCTAAATAAATAAAATATCTAATTCTCTCATTTTTAATTTAATTTTAGTTATCTTTTTTAATGTTGTGGTCTCCTGTAACAAAATTATAAGATTTCGAACAATTAGCGGAAAAATCTGAAGACGGTAGGTTAAATATATTACCAGTTGCTTTTCGGCTTTTTAGTTTGTATTTTGTGGTGAATTTACCTTTAGCTTCATAATATTTATGTATTCATACTCGAAAACATTTTGATGAATCTTTGTATTGAAAAAATCAAAAATGAAGCCTAATTAATCGAGATGCGGCGGCTTAGTCATGAAATGGAGATTAAATATTAGATAAATTTAAATATTAAAGATTAGAAAAATTTCAATACGTCTCCGATAACATATAAGTAGATCCTTATACTGAAAAAGTAAAAAAAAAAATTATAATCCAAAACACAGTGGCATAAACTTAAAATGGAGGTCATTTTCAAAATCTACGGCTCAAGATACATAAAAGTAGACCTTTAAATTGGATAAATTCGAAAAACTTAAATAAGTCAAAACGCAGCGGCGTAATCGTAAAATGGAGGTCATTTTCAAAATCTACAGCTCCGGAAACATAAGAATACACCCTTACATCGAATAAATAAATAAAAACTTCAATAAGTCGAAACGCAGTGGCGTAATCTTAAAATGGAGGCCATTTTCAAAATATACTGCTCCGGAAACATAATAATACACCCTCATATGAAAAAAATCCGAAAAACTCAAATAAGTCGAAACGCGGTTGCCTATTCTTAAAATGGAGGTCGTTTTCGAAATCTACGGCTCCGGAAACATAAAAGTAGACCTTTATATTGGATAAATTCTAAAAACTTAAATAAGTCAAAACACAGTGGCTTAAACATAAAATGGAGTTCAAAATTTACGGATCGGGAAACATAAAAATACACCCTTATATCGAATAAATTAAAAAAACTTAAATAATTCGAAACGCAGTCACGTAATCTTAAAATGGAGGTTATTTTCAAAAACTACTCATACGATAACAGACCTGCATATCGAAAAATTAAAAATAATTAAATAAATAAAAAAAGGTTGAATTAGAAATGGAAAAGGCTTAATTTGAAATGGAAAAGGTTTAATTTGACTTGGAAAATGTTTAATTTGATTTAGAAAAGGTTGAATTTGACTTGGAAAAGGTTGAAATTGACTTGGAAATGCTATATATATATATATATATATATATATATATATATATGTGTGTGTGTGTGTGTGTGTGTGTGTGTGTGTGTGTGCGTGTGTGTAGAACAAAAACTTACAAATTATCATTTGTTATTACTTTTTCTCTTCATAACATCTTGAAATGACCACATGTCTGAGAATACGGAGTATGTATATTCTCAGTATCATTTAATGTATGATTTTTGAATGTTGTTAATATACTATTTATCTGATACTCACTCTAATTGCAATAATGAATTCATCTATGCTTATTGTACCAGAGCCATCGGTATCGAAAGCCTGGAACAATTTCTCCAATTGATCTTTGGTTAAGTTCAGGCCCGTATCTGTAATACCTTCTGTGAATTCCTCTAAATTTAAAGAACGGCTACCATCATCATCCATTCTCCGGAACACCCTGTAATGAATCAGAATAACCCATTTAATGATTAAACTGCAATTAATACTTGGATTACATTAATTTTTATTTTTAGTGTAGATTATTTATTGATAAATAGCTCCTAGCTGATTTTAAATTGTACAAATGATCCTAAATATGGAGTCCCAATACAAGGATGTGTTTCTACAGCCTTCAAACAAAGTTCGAACAGGCTTACAGCAATGAGATGGATTATCACCGATGTTGTTACTTAGTCCTGAAGAAAGTGATAAGAACATCACGCAAAAATGGAGGGATCCACGTCGGAATGAATCATAAAATTCTTGGATATAGCTCTCCTTGGAAATAATCAAGAGGACACTGAAAAACTCGCTATGACTCTGATAAGAGAAGTAAAGCAAATCGGCCTACACGAAGACAAAACAAACTATATGATAATACGCCGAAAATTCCACCGCAATAACGATCTGCGTAGAAGGAAAATCGTTCCCTAGAGTAGATAAATTCAAATATATAGGATCCACATTAACCTCAATAGACCAGCGTATAACAAGTGGAGTAAGAGCTTTATCCTCCCTTTCAAAGGTATTGAAATCCCGAAAAATCTCAAGAAATCTCAAATTTAGGGTGTACAATGCTATGATAAATCCAGTTCTAATATATGGTTGTGAGACCTGGACGCTAACCAGCACCCTAGAAAAAAGTGAAAGATTTGAGAGAAAAATCCTCCTCACCATAACCGGAGCGATCTGGGATCATGGTACAAATACATAGAGAAGTTCAATAAAGAACTACTTACAGAAAATAGTCAATCAATATCCTATGATATGAAGAAACGGAGGTTAAGATGGGCGGGGCATGTAGCTCGTAGCAATTCATCTGTAAGCCTCTACGTAACAATGAATGCCTCAATAGAAGGCAAACGACCACATGGAAGGCCAAAAAGCAGATGTATAGATAGAATCAACAAGGATGCAATAGAGCTGCGTGAGAAGTGCCTTTGCAGATTTAAGGATGCTATTTCGAGATCATTTTGGGATGCGATTGATGGGTCATTATTAACTGATAGGATACATGTTTCATCGGCATACGTGGTAATGACACTGTTGCGATGGGTTGAGATATCAGCTGTATATACTGTATAAATGTAGCTGTATAGACCTCATGAATTGTTTCAGAAGATTCATTTTCGGGATCCCCAGACGTTCACATGTTTCACTATGGTACATCGAGTTGAAGTGGCTTTATCCTACTTCCCGACGACAATTCCTTCTTGGCGTTTTCCTTTTCCAAGTCTTCAGAACTAAAAACCCTCCCTACATCCTGGAACTCCTTACTCTGCGCTCCTCTATCCACTCTCTCAATACTAGGTCTCAACCTATAGACTTATATATTCCCTCCCATAAAACTTCCTCCTTCAGCAAATCCTTCGTCATTCGTGCTGCTTCCTTATGGAACTCACTTCCTACCCCCATGCGTCAATCCTCATCCACAAATTCCTTCAAACAACTCCTGTTCCAACACCTACTCCACATTCAAACTTCCCCTAACATGTAAAATTACTTGCATCTATACAATGTTTAATTTCAATCCATTGCACAATTGAAATAAGAATTAACAATAAATTAGTTGGTATTTTTATTATGTCAGACTAAGATACATAAATTTGTAACTCTGTTATTATTCTTAGGGGACAGTAGTCCCAGAATAAAATTATTTTTTCATTTCATTTTCATTTTTCATTTCATTTTCATTTCATTTCATTTTTCATTTTCATTTCATTATAAAGGATAGGGCCTAGGATATTGCCTAGAGGAACAACTGTAGACTGGAGAAAGAAGGATGTATAAGGTTTGCTGTGATTTACTTTGAAGTATCTATCAGTAAGGTAGGAACGGATTATGAGGAAGTATTTATTTATTTATTTTTTTATTTCTTTTCCACCCTCCCATGCCACCAGGGCAACACGGGTGTATGCAGTGGTGTGATGTTAAGCATTAATGCATAATAACACACTACTGTCATAATATAAGTTTACAAAATTCTAAGCTGTGCACACAGCTAGCTTTTACTCTTCTACTTTTTCCTGCTCCTTTAGGCCTGGCTTCCCGAATCCGGAGGTCTTCCTGGGACTGGTCCTCTTCTCCTTCTGCGTGCACCTAGGTTGAAGTGAGCTGGGCCCACCGCCGTCTTCCAGCCATTTATAAAGTCTTTGAACCGCGGAAAGTTTTCTTCACTCACCAACTGAGGAAACTCCTCCTCAGTGAGGACGTAAATTCCCGTCGTTCTCATTAACCTCACTCTTAATTCGTCGAAAGCAGTGCAGGCCGTGACCACATGCTCAACAGTCTCCGGAACACCACAAGCGGGGCAGTGGGATCTATATCCTGTCCGAAGCCATGGAGTTTAGCTCTGAAACCCCCATGCCCCGTGAGAAATTGTGAAACCCAATAGTCCGGGAGGAGCCATTTCGCCGTTGAACCGAGATTCAACGGTGGGGAAGTATTTTCTTAAGGTACTGCCTTTCGGAGTCGTCACCCACCGTCTGCTCCAATCTTCAATTGTTTCCTCCCGGATAATCTTTTTCCATTTATTTGGGTTTTCAATAATCCTCATCCGTAGGTTCTCCGACAGACTTGTTGAGCCCTCCTTCTTGTAGTCGTACCTGGTCACTTCTTCTCGCAGGAGGAGGTCGAGAGGCACCACCCCCGCTAAGACCTGCACTGCTTCATGCGACGTAGACCTATATGCTCTGGTGACCCGAAGCAGAGCAGTCCTCTGAGTCGATGCTAGCCTATTTCTTTGTCTGAGTGTGAGGTTTCGGAACCAGAAGGGAGACGCATACCTAAGGATACCCTCCACAACACCCTTATAAATAGTGATAGTGGCTGGATACCTAAGGCCCCAAAATGCGCCCCCCACACGACTTAGACCGTTCATTGCTAGGGCCACCCTACCTGCCAGATATTCCAAATGAGGCGTCATATTGAGGCCTACACCTAACCTAACCCCTAGGTAGGTTACCACCTCACTTGGACGTATCCTCTGGCCTTTTATGTACATCGTTATAGGGTGTGCCCTATCAGTCTTTCCCTTAAGGAGGATGGCTTGAGTCTTGGCAGCAGCCATCCTCATCTTCTTCCCCTTACACCATCTAGCGACTAGGCTGGCGCATGGCTCTGCTTCTCTCTTGACTCCAGCTCTGCTGTTGGAGGCCACCACAGCAGCTAGGTCGTCAACGTAAGCAGTGGCAGGAAACAGCTCCTCCTCTAAAACTCCCAGTAACTCATCAAAGACGAGCTTCCATAGAGCAGGACCAAGCACCGATCCCTGAGGGCAACCTCTCTCTATGGAAGCTTCTACTCCATAGTAATTGCCTCTAATCTTGACACTTCTGTCCTGGAGATAACTTCTTACTAGTGTGTATAAGTTACTAGGAGCATCATACCTCTGCAGCTGCTGGAGCACGCTAGGCCACCATACGCTGTCGATGGCGGAGGATATGTCGAAAAGGAGCAACATGACATACCGCTCCGCCCTCTCCTCAACATTTCTGCGCACTCTCAGCAGGGCATCAGCGGTTCCTCTGCCTCTGGTTGATCCATATTGCCGTGGATGGCTTGCTCTAGCGAAAACAGGCCGTAATCTAGCCATCATGAGGTTCTCCAGGACCTTGCTAATCACAGGGAGGAGACATATAGGTCTATATGAATTAGGGAGTTGTTTGTCCCTATCTCCTCCCTTGTAGAGTAGTTTCAAATCAGCGATCTTCCATCTTCTTGGAAAGTATCCCATATCCAGACATTCATTGAAAATACTCAACAGCCGGTCTTCAATATACGTCATACTGTTTCTCAAGATCGCTGCATCTATTGTATCAAGTCCTGGAGCACGATTAGTCTTCTGCTTATCCACGTAAATACGAAGATCGTGAATGTCCCATGGTGGGCACAAATCTGAACCAGGTGGATATACCGTGGTGCGTCTCACAAAATCATCATTTTCGCTGTCCTGGGTTGGGTCATCTCTGGGATATATTGCTTCAATGAAAACATTGGCAGTTTCTTCAAGGGTGGTTGCCTCAGTATTATGATACCGCAAGGCTGCAATAGTCTGCATCGGGGACAACTTACCCAATGCTACCCTATACGGAATACCCCAGGGATTCTTCAAAGACTCTTCAATGATGAAATCGTCCCAAGACTTCCGCTTTTGTGAGCGAACCTCGTTTCGGTATATCCTGGCTTTTGACTTGTACTCATTGCGAAGTACAGTGCGCCTCTCGTTGCATCTGCACCTCTGATATGACCGCCGGGCCTTGTAGAGGTCTCGTTTTAGAACAGTTAAGGCTGGCGTCCACCATGGGACAGGTCGAACCCTCGCCTTCCGGTGCTTGAAGGAGTGTTCGGCAGCATCACGAATGTTGTTGGTAATCCTGGACACCTTGTAGTCCAGATTGTCGACTACAGATTATGAGGAAGTATGTAGATGGTAGGAATTCCTGAAGTTTGTGAAGCAGTCCCGGGTGCTAAACTCTATCAAACGCCTGTTGGACGTCGAGAAAGACTCCCGCACAGTACATTCCGCGCTCCAATGCAGATGTGAATCGTTTACCACACGATGACATTGCAGTATAGTGGAGTGAGAGGAGCGGAATCCAAATTGGTGATCTGGGATTATGTAATTAGAATTAAGGATGGGGTACAGGCGTTTTAAGATGAGCGTTTCCAGGATTTTGCCCATGATGGGTAAAAGAGGGATAGGACTGTAAGAGGATGGGTGGCTTTTTGGATTTGTGATCATTTTAACAATAGATATTTTCCAAGAATCAGGAAAATAAGTGGAACGGAGTACAGCATTATATATGCAAGTAAGGAATAGAGTGGCTTTTCGAGGAACAAGTTTTAAGATCTGGGATGTAATTAGGAGATCACGTCCAGGAGCTTTGTGGGATGGTAATCTGTGAATGATGTTTGATATTTCTGTGAAATGAAATGTTTTAGGTGGAATGGTCAATT